CTTCTTTGTGAACCACACGTGTCACGAGAGTTTCTCTGTCGAACGGGGCAAATCTTACAAATGATGCATGCAACTCATTCTGGGCAAGACTCATGAGTTTTAGCAGGTTGGATATGTTGCTTTTCTAAGACACTACAAGAAAGACATAAAATAAGTGCTAGACCTTTTCTCTTGGTTCTCCCTGCCGTGAAGCTCTGAGGCAGTTTGCTTCTGTAGCTCCACATCTCCACTCAGCAGCTCCACTGCGTCCTTTAGAAAGGAATTCTCCTTCTTGAGCTCTGAAATTTCTTTCTGACATTTCTCCAGCTCATCCTTAAGAGACTGTATCTGATCTTGGTAACTTTCTTCCTGAGAAAAATGGCAAAGGTAGATATTAAGCCCTCACATTAGAAATGGCGGTAGTAAGATTCCACTTCATAAATACAAAGAAAGAAAGATGCTCACTTGGAAGGGTGGAGTGGGGTAGTTTCTACTGAACAACAGAAGAGAAATGTAAGAGAATTCTTCACCTTTCAAGACCATGTGGAATTACAGCAACCTCCTCTTGGAAGAGTCTGTACCTTTAAATTATCAAGTATTATCAGAGCTGAATATAATCTGGTATGGCTGAATCTACCAAGAGCACTGAAGAAAATAATGTGGCTATCAATCCGTTAAATAACAGCTGTTGCTAGTTGGTGGGCCAAGTGATTGTGAAGGTCATACTTCAAAGTATGCAGGCAATGCCTGGTTGATTCTCAAACCAAACCAATCTATAGTCTAAGATTATTAGTTTTCACACATCAGTATTGATTTAATTCCTTGTTGCTCTCTTGCTTAACAAAGGCAGAATAAATTATGCAGGCTGGTAAGAAAGGCAAGCTGAGAGAAGCAAGCAAGAGAACATGTACCCTTTGTCAGACCAGACCAGGAATCAACTCCACAGAAAGGCTAAAACCACTTTTATTGAGAGTGGCTATAACAACTGAACTTTGCAGGTCTGACTGTGCTGTATCTCCTCCCCGTTCTTATACTCATGTGAATTAGGGAGCTGTCTGTCTAAGCTGCTTCCGCAGATCAGTTTCTTCTGGACTTACGTTATGTTTTTCCCTCATCACTTTGGTAGCAGATCTCGCCTATCTCCGTCAAGGTCATCTTCCTTGCTCTTTACACCCTTCCGCCTTTTACATAATGCGTCAATGTTATAGAATTACGTTCTTGCAAAATTGGAGAGACTTTCCTGCAGTTTTTTCTCCCCACAAGCAGGGGCATCTGTGCATGAGTGGATGGATGGTAGGTTCATGTCAATGAAAGTCAAGATGACAGCCATGACTGTGTGACTGAAGCCCCACCCCTTTTTACATGCATTGCAATGTGCCTAAAAAAGGAGTGGGGCTTCCATCACACACACACACACACGCTGCCATCTTGACTTCTTGATGGCCCCTCCCACCCTTGCAGACATCTCTACCCAATATGATACAGCCATGAATGATATCTGTAATGGTACATCTACAATCTCATGAAAAAGTTTCAAAAAAAGATGCTGCAGTTCTGAACTGTGAAAATACCACCAATTCTTAAAAAATAGCTAATGCATTCTAAGGACAGATTTAAAGCTTCCATCCAAAACCAAGACATCTCCATGAAGTGAGACTCTTGCCTGTTGCTTCTGGACGCCCATCAAGTTCTTCAGTTCCTCTTGAAGCTCCTCTTTCACTTTACTGTGGATCATGGAAGATACCTGTTTCTCTGACAGCTCCTTTCTCAGAGAGTCTAAAAACACTGACAGACTTTTAGAATGTGGAGGAATGGTTGAACATAAAACAGTTACAGAAGTTCTAGGATTTATTGCGAATTTATATATGCTATGGCAATGGATACTAGATATAGTCCCATGTCTCTGCACCAGCTGTGACCATTCCTCAGCTAGTTGGACTTAGCCCTCTCTTGGCTACACCTCAACTTGACTACATCAAAGTACTCTACATGGGGCTAACCTTGAGGACTGTCAGGAAGCTTCTGTTGGTACAAATGAGGCAGTCAGGCTTCTGAAAGAGAATATATTCTATCTGTGTGAATGCCATGGCACAATGGCATCACCTACCCACACCCAGCCACTCCACTTTCTCTGCCATGCATCAAAAGCAGTATTTTCTGATTTGAATGGTATGATCTGGTTCACCTGCTGATCCATTTCATTGTGGGCAAACATCTCTCCTCCATCTGGGCACTGTGGCTACAACACTCTCCATGGCCATGACTTTTAACAAGTTCACCAGTGAAAAGGTGAAAATCTAGACCTTCTTTTATTCATTCATCACATTTTTATACCCGCCCATCTCACGAATGTGACTGGGCAGCGCACAATAAAAACAGACCATAAAAAAAAAACATTAACAGTTATTCCATAATAAAAACATTAAAATTGTTTAAAAAGACTTGTGTGCACTAATTAAACCTTTACTGCCTGTTGTCTTTGTGCCTCTGTATAAATTACTATATACCGTGAACAGTGTTCATGAATTTTGCTTTATAAACTTTGTCACAGCTCCGTTAAATCCAGAGGTGCAGTATTATATTCTATTTTATATTTCCTTTTTTTTTTAATCAAGTTACTAATTGTTTCCTCATGAATCGGGCAGTTCTGGAAGTTATCTTTTTTTCCCCTTAACCTTGAGTATTTGCATTTGAGTATTTATTTCCCCAAAGAGTAGTAATATCTTGATGATTAGATTACTTACTAATATCCTGCAGGGCAATCCTACAACATATGTTTGAAAAATGTCTTAAAATTCCCAAAGGAGAGGAAAAGAGGACAAGAGATGAAAAGGATACAGTTTTTCATATCCCTAATTACTGCTAATCACCAAAACACTGTGAAAACACGGTTTATGATACCTATCAACAAAGACTGCTGCGTCTGCATCCTCTTCAGTTCACTCTGTAACACTTTCCCTGCCTTCTCTTCCAAGGCCTGCATTTCTCGAAGGTGTGACTGCTGTTGAGCCTTGAATTTGTCATCATACTCCTTCTTCCAAGTCTCATTGACCTCCTGTCACCAATGAAAAGAAGTCTTTAGTCCTTTTATGCTGAGGTCAACCAAGAGTTAATGCTGATATGGATATGTAATGATGAAGAAGATGATGTCTTCACTTGATAATGTTTCTCAGTTCCAACAGGCATTCTGCAAATATATTTGTTTAATATTTGCAAGTCTGAAAATATACTCTGGTTACTCTCACAAAATTGCTATCATGGGGATTGGGGGAGGTTTGCCTGTTTACAAAAGAGTTGCTGGTTTGATGCTTACCCCTGCCCCACTCCTTTTGCCCCCAGGAAATTTTGCACTACTCCAACTTTGATTTATTTTTCTGGATAGATTTCCAAATAAAGTCCTTCCATGCAGCCACCATACCTTTATTTTCTAAGAATATCATAGCACAGTTCAGAAACATTTATTATAAATATCAAGGAAGCTAAGTCAAGATAATGTTCTAACTCTTTTAGTTAAATTAGTTAAATTTCTGTCAGAGTTAGTTAAAAATTAGTTAGGAGGGAATGGTATGCATCAAAGGAAGGATCTGGGGGTGGGTGCCACACAATGTAACCTAAAAATATTTTATCATGCATAAGCCATTGTTTTGGGGAATTCCTTTATCTGGGGTACTGCGTTTACTATATTAAAATATTTCCTACTGGCCTTTGAGAGAAATTTCCCCCATTTCAGTGTCCATTCTTTTTATTTTGTCAGATGAGGCAACTGGACAGAGATAAAATTAGGCAATTTGATAAACTTTCCAAATCTGTCAAGCCAAAACCTTTGTCCACTTTTACTTTTATTCTAAAGTTTTTCTCCACCTGAAAAAAATATCTCCCAAGCTTCTGCACTCAGCCATTCAGAATGGTTAACTCCCATATGAAGGAGAGGAAAGGAAACCAACCCAACCTTGAACTCTTTCTCCAGGAGATCAACAGCTTTCTGCTTGGATGGTTCCAGCTGAATCTCATGATCTTGGTTTTGCTTAATGGCATCTTGCAGCACTGTTTCTTTCTCTTTACTAGAGCAAAAGAGATCTTGTTGTTTGAAGGCTTCTCTGAAAGTTTTTTCTTGTTGTTCTAATGTTTGCTTCAGCTGTGTGACCTTCATGTATTAAAATTAGGAGGACACAATGATTAACTTGTGCCATTACCTTCTTGGCATCATTACAAGTTCTTTCAAGGAAAATTTATTCCAAGGACACTCTCTTTTAGCATTATGAGCTCTGAAAATACACTACCTAACAGACCAGATTTAATGGTTTTCCACCACCAGTCTTTATACTTCACTGAAAATAAGGAGACAGACAGATATTAGCAAGGTCAGGAAACCCTATCAAGGCAGAACAAGTTAAGCTTACTGATGAAGTCAACAGGTTAAAAACAATCTATGTATGTTTAAAGACACAGGCTGGAATTAAGCAAAATCAGTGTCTTCAAATGAGGTTTTGAAGGAAGAATCACCACAATCAGTTCAGATGGATAACATAAGGGGCCCCTAACTTTAGAGATAGTCCCATAAAGTGTAGGTTATACCTAGGGCACCCAAAAAGTTAAGATGGCAGTTGAAGTCCCACCCCTTTTTTTTACATGTATCATCGTAGTCTCCGTCTTCACTTCTTTGACACCTTCGGGCCCTTGTGGACACCGCTGGGTTCCAGCCTGCATTCTCAGATCAAGCAAATGCTACTTATGATATCTACTGTAGCTTTGCAGCTGCTTGTTGATGATCATGCCAGAAGGACAGATCAGCCTGGCACTCAGGGCCCAAGTCCACAACTGCAACAAATTCCTGCACCTAAGCATGCTGCCGCAGACGTGCTGAAGGAAACCGGGACTGATGCTGCTTGACCTCCCCCACTTTCAATTTAAACCTATTTTAGAGTTGGGGAAGCTGGTTTGCACAGGATTAAGAGAAACGGGTATGCAAAATGTTTCAGCTTTAAACCATCTCAACTTTAAAATACCCCATTTTGCACATGAATTGTTTTGCTCATTTCAGAATGAGCTGAAGTGACTGAAACAGCTAAGTTTGCTTTTGAACTGAGGAATTTGGAAGTGGTATGAATCCAAAATCTTTGTAACCAAAAATAAATTTAGTTTTATTTGGTTGACTGTACAGTGGCAATATCCTCCTCTCCAACAAAATGCTGCACTTGTTCCCTAGTAAACTTGGCTTTTCCTCCAGGCCTTGGGGCTGGGGATCTGGATGGAGCTCTGGGGCAGAGTGGTTTTCTTTGATATGTTCATAATGTAATTTTTAGGGAACTCGACCTAATTTTCTTTTGAATTGGATTTCTACAGTTTGGTTGTTTTACTTCTGTTTGCCATGCAGAGTTCCTTGGGTAGATGGGCAGTTACATATGTTTGTTAAATAAATATATTTATATTTCAATATAAATGTCAATATAAGAATTTATATTGACAATAAATTCTTTATTCTCTATTTTACTTCTACAGGCCTAACAGAACCATGATAAGTGAGAACTTAATACTGCATACAATGAGACAGTCTGCCTGGTATCATTTGGCATTTTGAGCTAATTTTATAACTGAAAGGCTGCGCTCAGACAATCCACATAATCAAGTCACTTGAGGTCAAATGTGTTGCATGAATCCATCAGCCCTGTCAGTACTGGGACAAGGGAAGGGCAGTACTGGGACATTGTAAGTCAGTTTCCACCCCACCCCATCAGCTGTGTTGTGCAAACCGCAAAATCAGTCAACTGTGGGGGAACTGCCCAGTTGGTCCTCCAAGAAAGCATCACAGAACAGCAGAGGAACTCAAAATTAGTGCTTCACTCTAAAACTCACTCCCTAATTAGAATGGTGTAGTGATCAAACTAGGACAGAGACTTAAAATTCAAATCCATCCTCAAAAGAAGACAAAGGTAATACCTTTGTCAAGAACCCTGCATGGATGTGTCCACGTAGCCATCAGGCATTGAGCTGGATTTGAAAGAGATCAGACTTTTTGCTTACTTACCGCCTGCAAGTGTGGTCAGGTAAGCATCCCATGGCATTCCAGATACAGCTTATCTAAGATTCTTGAAATCCCTCCCCATTTGCCACCCTGCCTAAGGATACCTGGGGTTGTCATTGAGCAAATCATGCAATGCCCCACATTGCTAATCTGCATTCAGAAAGACAGCGGCTAGATGTTTTATATCCTTGGAAGTAAAAACACCTAAAAAACTGACTTGCAACATCTTCTGTTATCATGGGAGAGAGAGAGATATTTAAGGAGACTGATGATTGCTCTTCTGCCTTTGGAAAAAGGCAGTGACGCTAATCAAGAGTCTCTCATCTTTTGGTATGTTGTCTTGGAAAATAAAGGAATACAGTGCTGGGATTTTAGAACATGGTTTGTTTTTCAAATCTTCACTCAACACAAATGACTGAAAAACCACTGCATAATTGGAGAGGAGAGGATCATTGATTCATTCTCCCATTTTATCTTTGCAAATATGCCAAAAGATGAATTCAGTGGTAATGATTCACGCTTCACACTTGGATTAGAATGAACATGGGCTTCACTCAGGGGCATCCACTGGAGCTTAGAAAAGTCAAGATGGAATCTTTGACCATGTGATTGCTGCATGTACAAAGGTGCAGTTTTGATCACATGGTTTGGCCACCATCTTGATTTTTTTTACCTCTTCCAGCCATCTTCAAACAATTGGTTTTTCTCAGGCATTTTGAGACAACAGCTCTCAGAATCCCTGACCACAGATAATGCTGACTGGGGATTACAGGAGTCGTAGTCCTGAAGAACCCAAGGGATTCTGGTTGAAGAGAGAGAGCTAAAAGGTCCCTGGTTTGGCTTGCACTGCGCACACATGTGCAGTGAAACCATGGGTGGGATTAGACAGACCAAGAAGCCAAGGCTGAAGAGAAATGGGTCACTCCATCTTTGTATCACTTCTTATTCAGAATGCTGATTTATATAAAGCAGTGTTTCTCAACCCTGGCAACTTTTAGATGGGTGGACTTCAACTCCCAGAATTTCCCAGCCAGCCTGCTGGCTGGGGAATTCTGGGAGTTGAGTCCTCCCATCTTAAAGTTGCCAAGGTTGAGAGGAATCAAGCTTACATTTCTGAAGAAGGCACTTGTTATGAAATATCAAAACAGAATCTGCCACAGTACTTGAGCTTCCAATTCTGTCTTTTGGTAGTACCATTCCTCTTGCAAAGTTTTGGTTGTCTCCTTTGGAAGACTTGTAGAAGACCGCTTGTCTTCTTTTTTGGGTGTACTTCGAGGATCCAGCCTTGAAGAAACAACATTTATTTTGTTATGAAAAGAAGATTAGCATGTTTCAATAGAATAGCTGCCAGATGTATCAAAAATAGCTCTTGATGTGAACTTGGTGCTTCTTAGGGACCAATTAGAACTGTACCTTTGTTTTTCTCCATTCCTGGTGCTCAGGGCAGAGGTTGGCTGGTCTCTGCTTTTTGCTTTTTCTTTAGGCTGTTTGGAAATCTCACTCTGTTGTACAAATGGATCCTGGGATTAAAAATAATGCTTCAGTTAGGAAGCTGCTACTATTTACTCAAAGCCTTCTCTATATTATGGGAGTGCTGTATCGTAGCCCATCTTCCACCCTTTCATTTTTAGGGTCTTCATTACCATTTGCTTTAAGAATGAATATGGAAACAATTATTTTCACAATTCTAGGAGCTGTTACAAAGCAGGTGCTACTTCTTCCCCACCATTTAAGGCCAAGAGATTTCTCCCAGCCACGTTTCTCTTGGTTTCTCTTGGATCAACTCTGGTGAATACTAATAGTGAAGCCCTCAACCAGAGCAGAACTCTGATATCAAATTCCCTTCCATGAAGATTCTGTCCCCTCCATCTTTCTTTTACCTGTCTGATGGTCAAGACTAGAATAAAAATATCATACAACTGATGGTCCTTGCAGGTCACATGCAGGGAAACAGAATCAAATGTGGATTAAGGCAGGCCCATGGCTAGAGAAGACTTGGAAGTCCTGAAAGACCAGATTAGGGATAGATTGTCATGGATAAAATCTACCTACAGTATGTGGCCACTATGAGTGGAAAACTACTTGATGGCACATAATCAATCAATCAATCAATCAATGAATCAAGACTAGAGAATCAGTAGTGGCAGAGCTTAAGGACAATGGAAGGGGATAGGGTATAGTCATAAAACATATCTGCAAAATCGATCACCAAAAGAATTCTAATATTTGTGCATTTAAATAGGATGGAGTTAAAACTACCCATTGAAGTTCAGCTGTGTTGTTGAAAACAACTTTCATTTCATTGGGTTTGAGACAGTCCATATTTTAACCATCACTACTAATCATACCACACAAAGAACTGAACAGAAATCACCAAGGGTTACATTAACACTCCAGAGAGTGTGTAAACAAGCTAGCCCACAAGTTCTAGGGAGGTACTAAATCCAACCGAGCAAATCTTAGGAAGCTTCACTTTTACGCACTCTTTGGCTCCTTTTCAGATCCAGAAGGCCACCCTTATTACACACAGCTACCATGAAACAAGCATCATTACACATCCTTACATGGGATCCTTTTATAGCCAAGCTCCACACTATCTAAGTGTGCTGAAGACAATCACTATCCTAGCTCATCTTTTAACCTAATATCTTCAAAAGGTGTTACCATTTCCCTCATCCCCAGCCAGCATGCACATAATGGCTGAGAATGATGAAATGCTTATGTCTATTCTTTCAGTTAATTAATGGAGCTACAACCTAACGTGAGTCACACCTTTTGTCTTTAGTGTGGCTTCTCCTTATGGTGTGGTCAGGGTCTGAAAGAAAAAAAAAATGTAATGGGTTCAACTTTGCATAAGTTGCACAGCTTCCTATTTTATACTGCTGGATCTGGCCAAGGTTACATCTAGTCTGGCATCCAACTATTATCACAGGATGTCTCTGGAAGCCCACAAGAAGAATACTGATTGATTGACTGATTGATTTAAACTGAAATAAGGTGTCCTTTCTGATCCTCAGCCTGTGCTGTTCAAGTTACTGCATGAAAGCAGTCTTGCTCATAGAACAAGTTAATCAGTTGCCGACGTGGCCTACTATCACTTTCCTGGTGACTGAATTGTTTAACAAGGGCTGCTTATATTTAAAGTTTAACAACAAGGCTGTTGTTGTTTGTTTATTTATTTAAGATTGCATGCTGTCCAACATATTTTAGATACCAGGGAATTTCTGAGCACAAAAATGCTCACAGACTCTAAAGGATTCCTTTCAAGCTGAACACAATCCTGTTAGAAACAAAATTCAACACAACTTCTAAGCTTGGACAAACCACCCAACCACAACACCTCCACCTTGTCTGGTTTGAACTTCAATCTTTTTTTCTTTATCCAGATTAGCCCCATCTTCTTAAACATGGAGAAGCAACTATCTGGTATGCACACCTGTTACATTTTAATGCATACATATTATAGTGTTCAAAACCATAGTATAAATGCTATACAAATGCAGCTGGAATACACAATTAGTACTGGAGCTTCTCTTGAGTCCAGTGGATCACTGAGCTACCTGGAGTCCAATGGTGAAGTGATGCAGGACAATATACTAGGACCACATCCTCAATAAAGCCTTTAGCAAGCTGAAGGAGAATGCTTCCAGTGTGGGAAACAGCTTTTGATTGCTAGAAGCACAGAATGGGGCATGAGTCCCAGATCACCAAAAGACATCTCTAGGTTTTGTAGGACTTCTGCATGAACCATCATGTTCTAGAATTAACTGTCTAGATAAAGGTGGAGCCTCTGTAGTACAACCAAGCTTATTTGCATGTCAACCCAGGCTTCAATCTGAAGAATCAGTATCCTCTAGATACGTATTGAAGTTATTCAGCCACTGGACTATCTTGCCCTCCAAAGACATGCTTTTAAAATCTCTTATTACGTATTAACAGTATTAATACCTAAAATATATCCATGCCTTCCCATCCCAGAAATACAATGAAGATAGGTCTAACTGGGGCAAAAAGACTTCCAGGGAAGCCATAGGCTGCTAGATGATGCCTGGGATAGAGAAGACTGTAGGAAGACATGATAGCTCTCAAGTATCTGAAGGATTGTCATGCAGAAGATGACAAGAACTTGTTTTAGAAGACAGAAAGAGAAACAATGGCTTCAGTTACAAGTTGTTTTTGATTGGACATCAAGAAAAAAAATTCCTAACAGTAATAGCTGGTCAACAATGAAGCAGACTGTCCCTCTGGAGGTGGTGGACTCTCCTTCACTGGAGGCCTTTTAACATATTTCGGATGGCCATCTGTGAGGGCAGGGGGTGGGACTGCATGACTCTCAAAGTCCTTTCCAAACTTTCCACCTTAGGATTCCATGATCAAGCTCTCCAAGGAGGTAATGGATTCTCCTTCACTGGAGGTGTTTAAATTGAGGCTGGATATTTTAGAGATGCTCTAGTAGTGGATCCCTGCATGAACTTTCCTTTCCATCTTCTATGATTCTATGAACTAAAGTTCCCAGAAGCCTCAGTCAGCACTATTAGTGGCAAAGGATGTGAGAGACGCTCAGCAATTTGGGGGGCACGGCATCTACAGGTTCCTCATCCATGTAGGCTGAGGTGAAAGTTCTTATTCACCTTTAACGGATGGTTCTTATCCCAGTTCTTATCCACCTTTAATGGCTTTGAGTGATATTTGGCATCTAAGCAATTTGCTTTTGATCGTGACTTAAACTGTTTGCTTTACTGGAATAAGGCATTCTTTAATCTGCTGCTTTCCATTTTGCTCCTTGTTTATATTTCATTTTTCCACTGTTACATTTTCACTGCAAGGCCTACTGAGACCACCGTACATAGAGGAAAAAGCACACAAAACATGGCCATAAATAAAATGACAGGAAACAGGGTGAAAGCCCCATTTTTCCAAAATGTAGCTTCCTTTCTGAGCATAGGTGTGAATCCCACTAATGTTAATATTCCCTGTTGCTATTGTTACTGCTTCTCAACTCTGACAACAAAACTTGCACAGAATACAGTATTTTAAAAAAAACGGATTAGCACGTCATAATTCCCTAGTTAAAAGGAAAATGTGCCCTCTCCCCCCGCTTCTGCATTTAAATATTTATGGAGAAGAACTCCAGCTGTGTTCGGTAGGGTAGGTAGCAACTGAGGGAGCAACCCATGATTCACAACACAGTGGATGTCAAGAGTAAAAATCAAATTAACTGGGAACAATTAGCTCGGTAAATCAGACTAAACCTGTGATGTCGACAGTCCTGTCGCTTTTGCCTCTTGTCATGGGACATATTTTGGCTGCGCAAAATTGTTCGAAGGGAGACAACACAGAAGCAAAAGAAATGTGTGTAATCCTTGGAGATGGCAGAAGATAGACTGTTGACCACCAGGTATGGAACACCAGCTGAAGCTCTGCAAAGAGTAATGAAGAATGGCAGATCTTGATCTGACTTCATTAAATCTTAGTCCTTAAACAAGGTTTTAGGGATCATTTTGATGACAAGATAGGCCTGAAGTTGGGTATAAAGTATTACATGGTGTAGACCAAGAACTGTCTGCTCTCATTCTGTCCAATTTTCATGGCAGGACGGGGTTCACTTTTGCTGGGATTCAGATAAGCCCTCCCTTCATCCCTTTGCCCAGGCCTTTTCAAGCTTTTAAAGGTTTTGTGCTTCTGTTTTTTCAGTTAACCATGTACATCTTTATATATATATTTTTAATATTTATTTACTTGGATGGGTAACAAGATAGGCAGTCCTGCCCAGAGCCATTTGTTGATAGAGAATTTTGCATAGCAATTTTAAAAATATCTGTTTCTACAAAACATCAATCCTAAACATAAAAGTTGACGAAAAGCAAACTCTGCAAAATGCATTCCCGCTGATGACAGGTTGGAGGGCCAGGAAAATCCCCCCCCCCCGAAAAACCCCCTTTCATTGCTTTCTTTATTTGGCTTGAAGACTAGAAATATAATATGTCCGAGGACGGAAGAGGGAGAAGGCATTCAACTGATTTGGCAGAGAGCCAGTACTTTCAATGGGATGTGCCTTTCATAAAGCACGCATCTCACTAACATCTCCTCCAGCTTGGGTGAGCCACTGGGTTTCTTCCCAGGCAAAAACACTTGAATTTGGCTTTGGTTGAATAAGAAATTGTTTTTATACATTCATTAACTGAAGATAAGTTCTTCAATTAATATGGCACCATATTAATTAAAGAACTTATCTTTCAGAATGTTGCTTTCCTGAGACCTGTGTTAGTTGAACACACGTTTAGAAGCATTTAACTTTTATTTATGCTGGCCTTAAGCAGGGCATCCAATTGTCTGTGTGTGTCACAGTTGCCATCTTGACACTTTTTACTTCCCCTATAGACCCCCGGCCTTCAATTTTCAGATGTGCCAGCAATGAAATGCTTATCTGTTTTCTCCCACCCACCCTTAAGTACCCAATCCCAGGTTATTTTGGTCAATAATGCTCTATACAGCACAAGCTTCTTACTTTGTCTTGCCATTAAAAAACAGCAATAATGAATTGTCCCATCACCCCAAGTCAGCCATCTGAAGCTGCTGACTCATACCCTCACCCAACTGATAAAGTGGGCTCTGATAATTAATGCAACAGAATTAGATGAATTGGAGTCCAACAGCTTTTACACTCGGTTTAATATCCTTAACACTCCAACATTATTAAATCGCATCTGGATGGGTTCACTGTTATTAGCAGCTGCCAGTGGTACACCAGAGGCCTTTTTACTCAGGTATCTAATTCTTCTGCTTTTCCAAAAGCTGCCAAATATAATTTCTCCCTTTTTTGCACATTGGCACTCCTTTTGCGTGACTGTCCCTGAAAATCCGGAGAAATGGAGAAGGTTCTCTACAGCTCCTCCCACTAACTTGGCCACTGATGAATCGCTCCTAACCATGCTTAACAGTCTGGAAAGTATGTTATGAGACCCTAAATCCATTCTTCACTTTTTTTTCTCTCATGGCTCAGTTCTTCTAACTTAAGTAGAATGCTAAACTGATTAGTTTGAACTGAAGAGGCATCTGGCCTCTTCAACAGTATTAATATCAACAATGTCAACAAGTCAACGACAGACAAGGGTAAACAGTATGACCTCCATTATGGAAGAAGCTAATATTAATAAAAATGTTTGGACTACACAATATATTCTTGGTTCTGCTTGAAATATGCCTGAAGTAGCTAAGAAAGTTATTTTTAGTTAAACTTGTGCTAAGAGGCAGCATGATATCACTTGCCCCCCTGCCCCCGCTTGCAGATGCCTCCCTTGGGTTTTTCTTTCATAAAATTTAAGAAATTCTGTATATTTAGGGTGCCTCAATTTTGGCTGATGAAAGCCTCTAGCCTTAAAGACTAATTTAGCAAGAAAAATGCTTTTTATATAGATTCAGGGTACGGCAATACAATGGACTTGTCTGATATAATTCCAAATGCCCACTGGTCCTTGAGCTGAGGCCAAACCTGTCATTATGAAAAGGACGTGTTGCAAAAGGATAATTAAAGTAGAAAATATATGTACCAAAAATCTGTTCTGGCTGGCAACACACAGGAAATCCTTCTCTTTTTTCCTATCACCTTGTCTCCTACTTGCTCAGTCAGTAAAAATGGGAGTAGCTTTCTCTCCTCCTTCCCTGTGGTCTCGAACTTGCCACCCTCCAGACACAATGCCCACCATCCTATCTGTGACAAGCCCAATTGTACTTTTACACTGAACTCATTTACTGAAGAAGTAATGCTAACAGAGCCCAACAGAGACAATTGTTCTATAGCCTTCATGGAGATAAGCAATAACATTATTTTACCTTTCATTATTTTGCAGTGAAAAATAAATGTAAACTTGTTTTTTAAAAAAACTCAGAAGACAGAAAAAAATCTTTTTTGAGCCATTTGTATGCCTTTCAATGTTTTAAAAGAAAAATTAATTACCTGATTTGCACTGAACTGGCAAACAGAACACTAGAATACTGAAAAGCCATTGATTTTTTTAAACTACCAATGCTCCAAACATTCATCCTATAAGGTAGATCACAATGATTACTATGAAATGTATGAGGGATGAGGGTGAGCTGCTTATAGAACTACTGGTAGTCCTCATTTGATGACTCCCTTGCTTAGCGACCATTTGCAGTTACGATGGTGATGAAAAAATAACTTTACAACCAGTCCTCACATTTACAACCTTTGCAGGTCTGTAAAGCAAAGGAAACCTGAAGTAAGATAGTAAAATTATGATGTTTCACTTACCAACCGCTTCCCTTAACAACTGAGTTGCCAGTCCCAATTGTGTCACTAAATAAAGACTACCAGTACTCAAATCTACTCATTTCACTGCATTTAGAAGGATTTTGTACAGAAGTTGGCTTCTCAGTGAATTCAAATCAACAGGATTTGAACTTGAGACACTTGGATTATAGCTCCATTTATCAGCCCTTATAGAATATGGTTTTCATTGATACTGAATTATCGTATCAATTGATCAATTACAATTGCAAATTTCCTCAGATTTACTACAAGCAGTGGAAAAATTCTCCAGTCAGCCTATTCTTTCTTGGAGACTGTTGTTTTCATATAATGCCCTAAAAGACACACAACATTAATTATCTATGAGCTTTAAGGTTCAGATTAATGATCTACCTATCCTTTCTCTAGCAGTGGACTGAAAGAGGATTTACAATAGATAAACAACAATAAAATGCACCAATTTCTTCTCCTACCATTGAGTCAACCAATTTCTGCAAGTTTAATATTCCTTTGTTCATACATTTGGACCCCAACTTTATCTACAACTATTAGGGCACTGATCAACTGATGCTGATCAATAAAAACTGAGAACTCCTAATCCCCAGAAGCTATCTCCTAACTGTGTTTTTCCATCAGTTTTCCCATGCGGTCTGTGACCCCTTTGATGTAGGGCAGAAATACTTTGTTGGTGGGTGGCTGT